TTTGCATGTAATGTGTGGTATCGAATTGTTAGAATAGACTGTCCCACTGTAATGAAGAAGAAAGAACCCAATTACCTAACAAGATAGAGTACACTAGACACGATGACTTGGATTAGTTGCACTGACGCAGATCTTTCTAGTTACTGTCTCAATGATGAAGGAGTTCTGAGCTCAGGCTAACACTAGTCTGCTCGTCAATGCGTTTCCTAGCTGTTTCGACTTGCCCATTTGACATCCCCTCGTTTTGAAATAATGGCATAACTTTGTCCTTACGTTTGAACATATGCTTGTTTTAACCTCTAGTTCCAGGCATCCTTGTTCTGAGTTTTAAAAAACTCACCATCCTAGTGTACGTGGCAGGGCATCAAACTGGTCGTTACATTTCTCCTTGAGAACTTCAGTTACATTATATTTACTGCGGTTTTATCTTATAAATAAAACGCTGCCATTTTGTTTAGCTAGACTACTGTGCCGAACTTGATGTTGCCTTATTTTGCCAATAATTTGAAATCTCGCCAGTATACTACGCCTTATCCGCGTATCGTTCAATATGCGCGCAAAGTTAGAACTGATTGCAAACGTGTTATGGGAAAACGTTCCGTAAATTGAAAATATCGTGCTGGCTTCCAACACATGCTTAGACATTGTTCAGGGGATAATACACAATTAACACTGATCCTATCCAGAAATATTTGATACGACTGCGGAAAAGTATGGAATATTACTGTTGTTATACAGAAAAAATGAATGTACGGATGCATACATTTTGCTGCTTTAAGGTAGCTGCTTACTTTATGGTGTAGAAGACAGTATTATTCAACTTGCTAATTAGCTTCCCATCAGATCTGACTGTTGCGGAATGTCCCAAAGTCCTGGATGGGGGTCATCATAGATATCAATCAACGCTAATGGAACTGGTCAGCCATATGTTTGACCCATTCAATAATCACAAGCAGCTAGCATTGGATTGAATGCATGCCAAATCTTCTGAGTGTTTTTTCTTCTGTTGTTATTGGAAATGTATACCAAGCCAAGACACATCTGCATATTTGTTGAAACATTTTGCAGATAATCTCTCCTCGGCATTACGGCCGAAACTTGACCGCTCAGTTTGTGTCCTTGTCGGAGACTCCGACGAAAGTGATACCGCATTCATCCAGACACCTGATTGGACTAACATAGTGGCCTTTGCGACCAGACTAAACGCGCACCTAGATTCCGTTCTTACAAAATACGCTTGGCTGCTTTATGAGTAAATATGTGCTCCTCACGGTAACTCCGAGCAATGTATTTTATAAGTGAGCCACGTGGTTTACTATAAGACTCATTTCGGTTCATTGGGTAGTAAGATATTCAAAACTGTGAGATGACGCGCTTATTGAAACATCCAATATTCACAGATTTCAGCAAATTCCGAGTTCTACAGGCTTTTCAGTTTCCGCCAATGAACATCTGTCTGTTCAGTGCGAACCGCTCACTGACTATCCTAACATTTGCTTCGATCCGTGAAGCCTGATCAAAACTATGCATTAAAGATTCAATATGGTTCATCGAAATTAAATTCCAAGCCGCATAGGTAAGCTACAATCCGGAAAAGTACCAGACACGCCTTTCTCCCTATTGGGGCTCGTCAGTGGTGCGCATCTATCGGTTCCCTACTGGGGACTGAACCCATGATCGCTAGAGGCTAAGGCCAATTAGGCAGCGGCTTATGAAACTGACCCATGTGGGACGACAGCAGACCATCACGAATTGAAACCTAACTGCGATATAGCCCGACCCATCCTCCGCCGCCACGCAAGTTACTGCTCATGCGGAGAACAGTGGTTGGCCATCCGGGTCAGGTCTTCCCTTACCAGTGTGGTGAATACACACAGCATTTTGAAGACTGGTAGGGCTTAGATTGTGATTACTAAGGACTAAACAGATACGCACCAATGATGAGCCCCAATAGGACGAAACGCGCGTCTGCTGCTTTTTCGGTTTGTAGCTTACCCATGTGGTTTAGAATCTAATTGAGGTAAACCAAATCGAATCATATCCAAATCCGTCCACTCAGTAGTATCCACTAATGAGCTGTTAGATTCTCCTCAACATCCCTCAGCACCTTAGAAGGAAAAAAGAGACGGGCTTATGTGAGTAAAAAGGCCACCAGTGTCAAATAACTCTCTTTGGAAACCAAAGTTGAGATTTACGGTGGGTAATGTCATATGTCGAACCCGTTGTATGCAACCACGACTACCGAGGCTTGTGGAAAATTTCAAAGCTAGACATGTGGTAAAGGCTTTAGTTAGCAGCTTAATCCAGTGGGTGCAGTGAAACGGAATCTTAACTTCGGTGTTCATATAGAAAGAATTCTCCTCGCCTTCATTCGCTTTGCTTTCATTCTCTGGATCTGGCCAATAAATTACATTCCAAAACAATGAAGACTACCGAGAACACTAGAATTTGAACATAAAAGTTAGTTGTCCGGATACTCTCTCATGCTTTGTTTTGAAAAAAATGTGACGCTACAGCACCGTTTTGGCCTGTTTTTCTTAACTGGTGGAATGGTTACAGACATTTGGAAGCATGTCCAGACAGCTCTATGGCCAAAGAAGTGATCCTTGAAATTCCGCCCGATAGCCTGCATGTTCATCATGCTGAAAGTTTTATAGCGACTACCAGTGCCTTAGATCACAACAAATACTCAGACTGTGAATGTGAATCATTATGTGTACAGAACCTGATATTACAGTTGGACACCATAGCATACTTTGTTCACTCAATAACTCCTACATTAGATAAGACATGAAGCAGGTGCAACCTCTCTTCCTTGATTGGCTCCAGCGCTTTTGGAAGTTTCGATTTGTCGACCTTTCTCATTTAGATTACTGCGAATGATGATGTGCAACCAATTCGTATTTCACTCTCAGGTCACCAAGCAGAACAGCAAAAATCCTCTCTTCGTGATTACTAGGACGGGTTCTAAGCGGTAATCATACCCGCAGTTATATTCTCTTTATGCAACGAAAAGCTTTCAAATTTCTTGGATGTCAGGACGCTGACAGCGCAGTCCTACGCAGCAGTGCTCAACCTCGGAACCAACAACGGCTCTCCAAATCGGGTTAGACGAGCTTCAGCAGTGGTCGTCGCCCCGATCGCTTATTCTCAACGCTTCTACATGTCGAGATGTAACTTGATCTTTCCTCCGCACTGACAAGTGTCTAACTTTGGCAAACACTTCTCGCCCCATGGTGATGAGTGGTCACAAGATACCAAGTTCATCCACTAGTAAGTCCCTTGATATCGATTTATGTCATAATCTACCTTGGTCCACACACATTGACGAAATGTCCCACAAGGTGCAAAAATTCTCATGTTATGACCTGAGACTAAAAATGCTTTCAGTGCCCTACTATTCAAGTTACAAATCCGCGACTGCCTTTATGTTTCCTCATTGACTATATAACGTCCCTACCCTTTTTCCTGGTCTTCTACGAAGACTTCCAGCAAGCTCATCTCCAGGTGTAGTGGAGTGCTCAGAGTGTCTCTGGTTGAACTCATCTATCCTAACCAGATTGATGTGTATTACAACATTTTAATGAAGTGTGAAATAACCCTTTTAACCAACCTTCAAGTTGATTTATCAAAAGCGATCCCTGTTTCGTCTACCGGCTCTAAATTCAAGCTTTTTCCCGTATGAAATCTTATCCTAACTCTATTTCATCGTATTTATCCCGTTTTCATGTGGACTCCAAGATGCTTCTCAGCACCAGGTGTGAATGTTTACTTGAGTGATGTGCATGCATGTTTTCTTCTTTTTACGCTTTTATTCCAATTCCATATAAATATGATGCCTCAATACTACCGAAGTACCAGTGCTGAAATTGTTCCTAGCAGGGCGCACAAAGCCTATTTTGATTTGGCTTGATAGGATATGCTTTACTAAGGATTAGTTACGAAGTCTCCCTAGCAATAGTGTCAACTGTTACTGACAACTTTTTATATTGTCGACCACGGTTCACTGAATTTTGATTCGAATTTGACAGTTGCATCCTGATGAGAGCAAATTAGGTTAAAACGCGTCGTGCAGTGCAATTTTTTCGGGTGAACAGCAACCAATTTTAATCTACGTTCTTAGTAATCGAACTGACAAAGATTCACTCGAATGCGTGTCAAAGCTCACATTGAGGTTGCCTAATGCAATCCAATCACCCAACAAGTGATTCATGATGAAGATACCATTGCACTCCCTTATGCTTATTGTTATTACAAATTTATGAATTTTGATCGTATAAAAGTTGCGTAATTTATGCACTAAAACTATTGGTTTGTCTGCGGCATTTCATCTAATCTACATGAAATAATAGAATGTTTAAACCGGTTAGAACGCGAAATTTGCTTACAGCAATCAACCTCGTGTGATCGGTTGGCCCGACACGTAGCCTAAAGGTAACATGCCTGTCTTGTAATCTGATATCGCGGGTTCGAGCCTGCGTAGGGGCAGGGCGATCCTCGCAGTATCCTTAGCCTACGTGTGACTGGTGGGGTCTGCGCGGCAGCGAAGCGTTGGTACTGCGTACTGGCGTACTGCTGATACCTCTCGTATGCCCGGGTAATTGGCTGTTAAATTCATCATTTCAGCCTGTCGCTTCCTCAGCTTAGAAGACGCGTCGTGCTTAAATGTTTTCCCAGGCGAAAACTGCATCATGTACAACTTGTAACATTAACCGTGAATGAATAAATTGGCTGTTGTTTGAAATTCGTTGACTCCAGCAAGCAGATGCAAAAACAATACTGCTGCCTTTCTGCCAATTTTGAACCACTTTTGTAAGCGGCGAACAAACCGACCGGTTAAATGAACCAGTACAGATTTTCGCGTTATGTAACAGTTGTAAAGAGCTACTAAAGAGGAATACTGGAGAACATCATGAGGATCGGCAAAGTCGTCCTCACTTGAGTAAAAGCCTGCACAATCTTCATGATGAGTAAAAGAGAAAGCGGGGAGCGATACTCACTTAAAATGATCCAACACTTCTTTCATTGCATCCGGGAGTTTGTTGATTGGTGGGAACACATAACTGTAGCATAAGATGCAGAAATGTGAGCACAGTGTCAAATTAGATGTTCTAATTAGTACAGCGTAAAACAAAATGTCGGCTCCAAAGTTCGCACCTACCACTAGCGTTGAACGTGTTTTATTTGTACCTTTGTAGTCAGAGAAAATGCGAATATAGTAAATAATGACACATGAAGCCTGAGATTATTGAGTAAAAGTTAGAGTGCATGGCAGAATTTTAACCAAGGCATTGTGTGATAGTATTCATGTACCTGTTATACTAGCCCACTGTTAAACAACAAATGTATCTGAGCTGCGATGTAGACCAGTTGCTCACAGAACACATGATCATTTTATATCTCACGTGAATTAGAATCATCACAAGCGTGATCCAAATTTTCTTGCTTATACTTCTTTGGTAGAGTCTCGGATCTCGCTCATTTCAGAACAAGTGGATCGTGTACTATAGTTCAGCTCGCTTCGGTGGTGATCGATCCGGTTTAGGCCTGTCCGCCCAAATTCGTTCAGCTCACCAACTCGATAAATCATCATCACGCTCGGTGCGTTCCCATAACACTCCCACGGTGCCTTCATCATTGAATTTCCTTAGTGATCCATATGGGGATTGTCTGACGATGCCGTTTTGGTACTGTGATGAAATTGTGCAAGCAGAAGAACCACACGATTTACATGACAAAGCAAGCGGCTAGCTTACCGCAAGCGAAGAGAGCAGTTGATTAAACAGCTACACATATTTGGTCCACGCACTGAGTTGTTCGCTGGAGCGGACTTGTTTAACTGATTCGAAGGAAGGATCTCATGAATGCGGCAGCGTCGTTAGTTACGGAAAGGACTTAGTTATTTACATAGAGGTTCCTACATGCTTGTCGCGCAGTCATTGTTGTTGAGCTCGCTTTGCCGAATAAACCGTTTGTCCCTAAAAGACCGAGTCCTGTGACAGGAACGATGAATAGAGAGCCCCGAATTATAAATCCATCTTCTAGCTTCAGTTCAGCTAATTGACTGTTAACTGCTTTAAGACCATTGTTCACTCGATCCGTCCAACGACTTAATATATGATACAGCACGTTCGACGGTTCAGGGTCCCACAGTGTTTCCGAATTTATCTCCATAGCAGTCACTCGCGAGTCATCCACCCAAGATTCCACTTGCACTAATTCTCTCAGAGATGGCGTGTAGCTCGGAACTTACCCTAACAAAAGTGGGCTGGGAGCATCGGTACACTGGTTCTCCTTACCGGGAGGATACTTCAACTGGTACTGATAACAGCGAGTAGTAGGGCACGACGAAACAAACGGGGAGACCTCATTCGATTTATCGCCTTTGGTTCGCGTAGTATTCCCAGACGTGTCTTAGTCCCTGTGTGTACTTTAAACTTTTGCCCTGATAGGTCTTGGTGTAAAGGAATAACCCCAAATGCGGTCACCAGAGCCTCCTCGTCAATTTAGGCGAGAGATGGGGTCCGAGAGGCAAATGCAACCGGTTTGTTGATTTCTCTCACATCCGTTTGTAACAGGGATGCACCATAGATTGATGCATCACACGTCATCTTCATGCACTTTTGGTGGTCAAACTGAGCAAAAACGGATGGACCGGCCAATACAAGTCTAACCTGCCGAAAAACCCCTTCCTTCGTCCTAAACATTCGTGCATAACAAACGATGCAGAGGGCATAACATTGTAGCGGATAATGATTGTACATCCCCAGAAACTACCTCAACTGCTTTTGGTTCTTGGCTGTAGTACCCTAAACTGCTTCAGCTCCACTGCACTGATGCGAAAACCCAGGCAAAAAATTGAGTTGCCTAGAGTACGAGCCTTACCGTTTCGTTCTCAAACCATTCTCCTTCAGGCGGTCTAGGACAACTCAATGTTCGTATATGTTCGTCAGTTGCTGCCCCGCCAACCAGTATGTAGCCTAGGTACAAGGGAGCTTAGAGAAGGCCTGTACTGAGGTTCTTTATCATTCCCTGGAAAACAGTCGGTGCCGAGTGGATGCCGAATGGTACCCCGTTAGATTTGAAGAACCCCCGGTGGTGCTGATTATCGTTAGTATTTTGGCGTTTTCATGTGAGCTGCTGATATGAGTGTGCGCAGTATAAGAATGAAAAAGCTTCTGATACTGAACTGAGGATAAACGTCTTCAATTTTTGGAATGATGTATTTTCCAAACGGACTACTGCGATTCACGATAATTTTGCAGTCACTGCAGATGCGAGTCAATCCAACAGGCTTGTGTGCTGGATCAGTTGGTGTAACTCAAACCGAAAACTGTACTCGCATTATAATGCCACTTTTCTGCAGGTGGTCTTATGTTCGGTCTTATCTTCGATTGCATCATACTGGGCAGGGACGAATATTTGATGAATCGTTGTCGTGTGCCAGGTAGAATACTGATATTAACTTGTCTTTCGGTGAACTTTCCCATTTCCGGTATCTTAAAATCTGGTCCGTACTGCTAGGGAAGTGTTTTTATTGCCGTTAGTAAGGAACGCCACCGCAAGGAGACGGGACCTTAACGTGGTGGAATAGTTTGTGTACCTCTGTGACCCACTGAGCTACCCTGGTTGGCACTTCTGAGTGCCATCAGAGCCACTCACACCAAATAAGTCAAGGGTTAGAGTCAGGCTAACTCAGCCTTACATTCGCCCCGCTGCCTTGCGGTCAGGGTAAATTCAGGAAAAAATCTCTGGGTGTAATCCCCTAAAACAACTCCCTGCTTCGGCTTGGGCAACCGGGTTGTATCACACTCACTGACAAAATCATGAACAAAACCATGTAGATCTGCAATATCGCTCTCAGCTGCTGTTGCTCCTGCTCGTCACACACCACATTTACCAACCACTGTTATCTGTTAGCAGCCAACTCCTGTTTCCATGATTCTGCTCCCGATGGTTTCGTCGACACACAGAGAGCTTGCCCAGTCGCATTCATTCGGCCTCGGTCCTCGCTCCGTCTGGCATGCTTAAATGTACGTACACTCATGCAGATCGGTGAGCAAGCTGGTCTTTCGTGCATCTTGGAATCCCTCGCCCTCAGTGTTTGCTGTCCATCCGAAACGCGCTTACAAGATCCCAGTAGAGTGATTGAGTTTAGATCTCCCACCGACCATGGAGTCTAATTTCACCTACGTCTATCTGGTGATACAGAAGCAGCTGCGGCAGGCTTGGCTGACGTTGGTGTTGTGCTAAGTAGCAAAGCCGACTGTGAGCATTTTGGCCTCAAGGATCATGCAAGATAAACACATGTCGTGAGGAGAGACGCAACTATTTGGTGATCTCAGCATACGCTTCAACTAACTGCAGTACCAAACGGTCAAGAACGCTTTCTACCGTGAAATTCATCAGTCCTTGAGTAGATTCTGCATATCCGACATCGTTGTCCTTGCTGGGGATCTCAACGAACGGGTCGGTCATCTATTATCTTGCGATAGTCACCTCGGTGGCCACCATGCAATTACTGAGAGCCGCTCAGATAAGGGAGAGAAACTTCTCACACTGTGCAAAGATAACCAACTGTTTCTCTCGAGCAACGTCTTTCGGCATTCGTGGAAATATTCCGCTACTTGGTGACCCCCATCTGCGTCTTAACCCTGGCCTCAGATTGATCCTATCGCAATCAGTTTCAGATGGATGGGTAGTGTAAATGAGTACAGGTTCACCTGGCCCACTTTTCTGAATTCAGACTATGCTCTTGTCTGTGCGAACAACTGCATGAGTTTCCGAGGGTCCTCGAAAACGGAGCACTGAAGGTAAACAAATAAACCATCTATTGTCTCGGTTCAGCAGAGCTCCCAAAATTCCCTGGCCGGTGCACTCGGCTGCGACCCACCGCAAGATATTGAACTGCCGGAGCCTTCAAATACGGCCGTTGCTGTTCTCGTTGGAAGAATATTTTACACTACCGACTACGATTTCTATATTTTCTTTAAAAATTTGATGCAATTTGCTGTCTCCTGATCTTTGTTGTCCTACTCCGTCAACCATTTGAAAACGTTACACCTTACTGCCTTAAGTAGACACTTCATGAAATACGGTCATAAAGTCAGAAACACCTTCAAACGAATTAGGGATAAATGTCTTGGAAAAAAGTAAAAGCATCGTTCTGGCTGGCAATCTAACCTCAGTCGTCGTTCTGTCGACAAAGCGTAAGTCCCACTGATACTTTCCAGCAATGTTCGCTCGCTTCTTGGTAAAATCCGTGATCTCAGTGTCATTATGCAGCAAAATGAGTATGTTAATACAGGAATCATTCTGTTACAAGGAAGCTGGTTGCATACTAATGTGGAGAATTGGGTAACTCAACTAGATGATTATTTTCCCATCAGGTCTGACCGCCCCGGAGAGTCCCAGTTTCGTGGTGGTGGCGTTATAACATATTAATCAACGTTGGAGCAACTCAGCAATCGGAATATTCACACACTCAACAATCCCTATAAGCTGTCAGTTATTTGAATGGAAATCGAAGTACATAAGTGGCCTTCAACCAGTCGTCGTTGGAAACGTATACATCGCTCCTGACATATCTGTGTCAGGGTTAACGCTTTTTGAAGACCAAGTTTCTTCAACGCTACTGCTTAAATTAGATTGTTCTATCTTTATTGTTGCTGGCAACTTCAATAGAAAGGATCCAACATTATTGAAGACTCTTGGCTTGATATACATAGTGACTGTTTCGGTCATACACGATGCCCAGCTAGACGCTGTGTACACAACTAGACGACAGTAGTTTTCCATACAAAACGGGCTCCTTTGAGCAGCTCAGACCATGGTATTTTAAAACCGTGTCCAGTCATATAGTCTAATTTTTAATGCTGACCAGAGGTCCTTGCAAGATCACCAAACAGCGGAATTGCTCCTTGCAAATGATTACGAGGCTCCGGGCGGTTTACTTTAACTGATTTTTTGGTCTTCAACGACGAGAACCTGTCGCTTAAATGTGACCATCTTACAGACTACATCAAACATGTTGCTTTGTTGAAACGATCTATAAAAGCGCAAA